CAGGGGTGGTGCCCGAGACCTCCCCCGCCAGGCGCTCAGGCTCACTGCTGTGGCACATTAATTGAGGTATCACGCGTTTGGAGGGAGGGGAACGTTTGTAGCTTGGTTTCAGGTATTATTTCAGCGGTTGATTTAGGTTACCTGCATGTGTCATGTTTTTCAGAGATACCTTCAGAAACGCAGCTTATGGCTTCAAGGAAAGGGGTGTGTGTGTGTGCGCGCAAAAATCGTTACCAGAGAGGGCAAGAAAATGTTTGTCAGACTCATTATTTGAAAGTGTTTTAAAGTAACGTTTTAAAATAAGATGCAGTTCCGAGATCTCGGTTGTTTTGGTCACGCCGAGGGACTGCTTGCGCACGTTATGCAGGGGTGTTAGCGTGGAGCAGAGGCCAGGCCTCAGTGAGCTGACTCAGTTCTGGTGTGAAACAACTGTAATTGAGGGGGGGAAAGAATTTTTTAAGGTTGTGAATTTGGAAGTGTAGTCTTACCGGTAAAATCTTTCAAATACTAATTTGAAGAAAGAGTCTTAACATAAATGGAGAGTGACTGGGGCTACAGCAGCACCTGCAGCACTGAGGAGTCTGCCAGGGCTCCAGCAGAAATCCTTTAACAGGGTAATTTGGACTTCAGCTATTGGGGAATGTCTTGGACTTCCAGATTTCAGGCTGAACATTGCATAGATAGGTAGAACCCATTTGTCATCAGATGGGTTACTTCCCTAAGAGGCAGAATTTCAGAAAACAGATGGGCTCGCCTGGGTTTTCTTTCTGCTTTCTTTAGTTTTGGTGGTTGAAAAATAGTTTAGATACTTGTAAATAAAAATTTGTGGGTGTTCAACAATGGCTGTAAAATCATCTGTGTGCGTGTGTTTTAAAGTGATAATTCAGCTGCTGCAGCCTCTAACAGTAGCTGTCGTGAATTGTGGACGGTCTATAACACAAACTCACTGGTAAAAAAACAAAAAAAAGCTCCCGTCCCTATTGTTATGTTTACTTTATAAGGCACGTGAAATAAAAAAAAAAAAGTCCTGTGGAAGGATTCTTAATATTTTCACATTGTATTCAAGTAACACAAAGAACAGCTGCTAAATATTCAAAGAGGTTTATACTGCTCTTTGTAGGCCCCACTGCTGTACACGTGCTTGCCCCTTCTGCCACGAGCGCTCTCGCTGAAGTTAATGGAACACTCCTTGGTGAGGTTGAATGTATGCATAATTGTTGGTAAGAATAGGGCTTAATGAGTAGGCAAATATAGAAGCAGACTTATTCAGAAATTTAGATGTTATACTTCATTTTGGCTCACTGGTACTGTATCTGATCCAGAGAACCCATCAGGTATGTCAGTACCAAACTGTATGTGTTTATAGAAAATGGGGGGGGTTTATACCCCCGTTCTTGGCCTAAGTGAAGTAAAGACATTGACTCCCAATGCTTGTAAATATAAGATGTGATTTAGAGTTACAGCTGAAAATTTATTAATTATTCTGAACGGAAATATGACTACAGCATATACTGCTACTCCTGAATAATTCTTAGTCATGAAGAGCTCTTAGTCTCTATTTTAACCTGAGATATTAATTTTTGATTAGTTTTGCCACCTGTCTATTGCATGGTGTAGTATGCCTGAAGATAGAGTGTGTATGTTATAAAATAGTAGTTTAGGAGAGAAATGGTGCTTGCATAAGACTTGTAAATAAAAACTGCTCTCTAAATACTTGCAAAATATCAGTGAGCAAGGAGAGGAAAAAGGAGCAGGGCTCTGGTAATAAGGTGGCAGAACATGCAGGCAGGTTTTATGCAGAGAAGAGCAGGACTGTTAGGAATACATGAGGGAGAAGGAAAGAAGGGAGAAAGCAGAGGGGAATGTATTTGTCAGAAAATGAACTTTGAAATATAACTGCTAAAACACAGTTTTGAACATGAGGCTCAAAATGGAGGGTTGTGCTGTCAGTGTGTGCTAGCAGAGGCCTGGCATCCTATAAATACAAACTGTACCTCCCTGCCCATTCTGCCATAGACACACATTTTCTGTTGTTGAGGCATAGGCTAATGAGAGGAACAAATGAGTAGCCAGAAGATGTGAAGGGGAATCTTTTTAAATTTTGCCAGGTTATGATACTACTCTTGCAAAAATATGTTTGCTTTATATAGAAAGCTACTGATCTGGCAGCGTGGAGCAGCTCAATTAAATGCTGCTGTTTGAGTCTTTTTAGCATGCATGGAAAAACGGGTACTATAGGCAGATGGGTTGCCCTGTGCACTGGCATCCGTGCAGCACAGCAGAAATAGCATACATCTACTTATGGAAACTGGGGTAAAGTGGAGTGGGTTTTTTGTGCCGCAGGTATATAAGGGAATCGGAGGAGAGCTGCAGGGGGCTGCTCGGAGCCTGCAGCCACAAAAGGTGGTCTTTGCGCCTCGTTGCGTATATGATTGATTTGGAACACGTAGAGGGGGTGGGAGGTTGCTTACAAGACACAAATTGGAGAAGGAGGTTTCTGTAGCTTTGTGGGTGGAGGCTTAAAGGGATGCCTTCCTTTTTCAGATGTGAGTATTCACATATTTTATCTCTTGTGATTTAAGTTACAGTCTTTTGACTGGGTGATGATAACCGCAGCCAAACTTGAAATATTTTCAGGATCTAACAAAAATGCTTGAGTTTAATATGGGCTTCAGTCAGTCTTTCTCTTCATCAGATAGTAGTGACAACGCAAGCAGATTTTGACGTTCCCTGTCTTGTTCTCTATAAAATGTTGAAGTTGTCCTTTTTCCTTCCAAACCCTGCAATCTGCTTTTAACGTTGACACTGGAAAAATGGACAGTGAAATGATCCAAGATTCAGATCTGACACATGACTTGAGCTGGGCATTTATTTTTAGCTACAACTGAAGTTTCCAGTGGCAATTATTTCTTTTTCTTTCGCTTTTCACTCTTGCACTGAGAAAACCAACTTTCTCGATTTTACCCTGAAGAACAAATTTTAGTGTGTCTTTTCATCACTCATGCTTCCTTCTGAAATTGATTTACTTTCATTTTCTAGGTGCTGGTGAATCCGGTAAAAGCACAATAGTCAAACAGATGAGGATCTTGCATGTGAATGGATTTAATGCTGAGTAAGTACATTTGCTTTTTCTCTTTACAACCTACCTTATGTCTGTGCACTGCACAGTAGTCACTGCTGCTGGTTTATATCTTGGTATATTTTCTTTTTGCTACTGTTTCATGGTCTCTAGAATTTGGATGTGTATTTTTAGGTGAGATTAATAGATACTAACTTGAAGTAATGCACCAATAATAAGAGCTAACAGTATAAAATTATTTATATCAAGGTTCAGTATAGCTGATTTGATTAAGGCTTAAGTTTTGTGCTTTTTTTTTTTTATCTGCAGTTTCTTTCACAACATGGCTGACACTGATTTACCTCTGCTAAGCACATTGATTCATACTGCTGTAAACATACCTCCTGTTAGTGTACAAAATGAATGCAGTTTTCTTTATTTAGAGCTAGTAAGGCTTTTGTTTCTGTCTTCTCACAAAATGAGATCGTACTGTGAATTTTGGGGGTAACAGGTCAGATTTTCTTCGCTTTTCTGTTGTGTTTGCTTGTCCAGATGTTTGTTAAATTACGTATCTAAAAGCTTTTCTTGTTTACACTTAAAATCTATTCAATTCTTTGATACTTGTGAGAAGGGAATGGCATTGGGAGAGGGGAAAATGGAAATTAATTTTTGTCTGAGGAAGCTTTGTGTTTGCTAACTTTTCATCTAACCGTGCTAGGGAGCAGGAAGAGATTCTTCTGCATGTTAGTTTACATTTGCAAGTGTCTGTCGGGGTGTGTGTGTATAGCAAAACCTGATAAATTAATTCTAATTGAATTAATGTGTTGGAATTTCAGAGCTTATTCTCTGTGTTTAATTTTTTTTAGTTTATATTAACTGGGTTTTGCCTTTCTTGTTTTCAAACCTATTTTGTATTAGCATCCCCTAGCTTCTAGTAGTATCATTTGTTCTGTGAATCCTGCCTTTTTGGGAAGATTAAGCTTTCACTAGTCTTTCAGTAGTTAATTCTTTAGTAAGAATGTCTGAGCTAAAAGTTTAGCCAAGGAGCCTGGACAATACTTCTTCCTAATCCCAAATGCTAGTTCAGGATAAGGTAGACAGTCTTTTGGAAGAAAGTTCAGACTGATTCATAATAAATTACATTCTGTGCTACATGTTTTTAGCTCCTCTTTATAAGGAATATTTTCTTCATTCAGGGCAACTCTTTTTTTCATAAGTGCTCAGTCCTGCATCCTGTTACTGCGTACTGTTACTGTCTCATTATTTTGGCTGCTCTTGTTACTAAAGAACTCTTAAAAGACTTAAGTGACTTAAAAGATTTGCATGAGTTGACGTTGATGTAGCAGCTCTCAACTTTAGGTGCCAAGTAAAAAGTTCATCAATGAAAGTGGAAGTCAGGGATCCCTGGCACCTTTAAAAATATCAATCTATTTAACCAAGACACTTCTAAGTTTTCAAAGTGTACAGATGCTCTTAAAGAGATGTTACTGCTGTGTAATGAATGGTGTATTACATGTGTAGATAACTTCCTCAACCCTGCAAGCTGCATACCCAAACTTGTGTGAAATCAGGAGCCCAGGAAGACATTATACAAACCCTGTAGAGCTGGGGAGGGACTGGGACACACTGAGATTTGCAACAACAGTGCGTTCCTCGAGTATCTCACTTTTGTGTTGTAGGTTGGGGCTCAGCTGAGCAGGCAACTGTATCAAGGGCAACATGACAAATTTGGCCTCCAGAGCCTCTGCTATCTTCTGCCTTCTCATAGCAAGGGATCTGGGTTACCCGTATACCAGCACGGCCTTGCTCCCAGTCATGTAGCATACACTGGTGTGGGAGCCATGTGTGAATTGTGGAGGACCAGCATGCAGCTCAGGAACCATAGGTGTCCACCCCATGGCATATTGTCTTGCAGTCAGTCCTCTGCGCTTGTCCTTTTGTGGGTCACATGTATTAAAACATTGAGGTGCAGAAAAACCAAATTTGAAAGTGGTATGTATTAAATGTACAAGAAGTTATAATGCATCTAGTTTTAAGTTTTTGTTGCTGAAAAATACCAGTAGATCATAACATATGAGGGGAGTAGGCTGTTTTTCAGTGATGTGACTTTCTTTCAAGTTCAGTGCTAGTCCTTAAGTAACTTGTATTTTCGTCAAAGTAACTAACTGCTCCCTACATTGTCCTGCTTTCCCTTTTTGCCCTATTTGTTCCCTTTCTGCCCTACTTACCATGTGGAAAAATGATGTGGGATTCAGCTAGTGAGAGAGAGGTAGCATGGAGGTTTTTTTGAATGGGTAAGAAAAGTAAAGCATGACTTCTCTTAATGTTCTTACTCAGTTGTTCTAGAACATAAACATGTTTGCATATAACACCTCGGCTGGTGTGATGAATAACATCAGAGAGGTGAAAACTGTAGTGTGCTGGAGATGAACAGGAATTTTTTAATATTGGAGTCTATGTACATAACTTTAGTTCTATTTCTGTTGGTGTGGCTTTTTCATGTCACTTGAAATAAATCCAGTTTAAAGTCCTGTCTATAACTTGTTTGCCTTTGATTTGGTTGCCTTCTGATAAGTAATGTTTGAAGCAGAAAGAGGATACCTGTTACGAAAGATGTCTAATGTGCTACAAACAAGGGAATCAAAAGTTTTTATCAGGTGTTACTCAAATACTCTTCTTCACTTCTGGTGATTGAACAGGGATATCCAGTGCTAAATGCACTTGCTTCCTTCAGTGAGTGTAAGAATTTTTTAATTTGTTTTGGTTTTATAATTCTGCCCCTAAGTAGGTGAAGAGACCATTGTCATGTGCATTTAGGTGAATTGTAGCATTTAACAAGGTGAAATTTATGTAGTTCTACAAAACTAGAAGAATTTCCTCTGGGACTCCAATCCTTGATCGCTTTAGCCAATTAATTATTTGAGGAACTATATAGAATCAAGTGTTCCAGGTAATTAATATGCTTAATAGTTAACAATGCTGAGGTGAAATTGAATGTGGTTAAAGTTCTAGCCAAGTTAACTACAGTAAAGATGGTTTAAAATTTTTTTCAATGTTTCTTTTATGATCTGTAGTTGAGTTATAGTCAGAAATTTTTTTTGTTGTTCCTGTTGTGAAGGTGGCATGTGGGAAGTAACAGTGCTGTGGCATTGGTAAGCAGAGTAGAATACTGGAGAAGCAAGGCGTGATCTAAAGCACAGGTTTTTCTGGACGGAGTTTTTGCAAGGGCTTAGCCAGATTCCAGCTCTCACAGGATGGCTTCAGTTGACCATGCTATCATCTGATATTTTCCTACAAAAATTTCATCAATAACAGGAGCGTAGCTTCCCCACAGTATTCTTCTGGTGTTCCTCATCCTTAGAATGGAAGAGCTGTGTTTTAAGCATAACGAAGACTCCGTAGGAACCAAGTTTTCTACTCTTTGCATCACTGCCAACAACAGAGCCCCTTGTGATGTGAAAAGGGTTTAAATTTGGCTTGTAATAGCAGGAAACCTATGACTTCCCTTCCTTTCCTTCCCTCCCTCCTCAACACTTCAACTGTCTTTTCATGAGGCTGTTCCAGAGGAGTAGGTCTCTGCTCTTGCATACTGTATTTTGTGAGCATCCACTGATAAAGTGGAATTAAAACCTTCTGGTTTTTGCTGTGCAGAAGTTCAGATGCCAATCCTTATGAACCAGAAAGGTTTTCTGAGTTATCTTGAGGCTGGGGTTCTTCGCTTCCAAGATGATGGCCTTTCACTGACTTTTTAAAGTCATCTTTCCCCTCCGTGACTGCTGTGGGTTTGGCTGACAGACTGTAAGGAGAGGGTCGTTGTCATGGACGATTTTAGAAAGTGGGAAATTGGCAAAGGCGATAGACAATTTTGAAGTGTCATGGGAAAAACTCTGACAAGCAGAATTATTTAGATAGAAGTAAATTGTTGAAATGTGACTTACGAAATCCACTACAAAGATTGACAAATAAGGGGAATGTGCCTTTGTGATTAGTAAGTTTGGATTGTATTTATGATTCGGGAAGTCTTGAGGATATAGGGAATTTCAGATAATGCTTCTCGGCTTCAGTTTCCCAAATAATATTGTATAATGATGACGCTTTCTTAAACTAGCATGTTGAAGTGTTTGAATAGGAGTTTGTATGTTTATCAAATCTGTTAATGATGATGGCAGAAGCAGAACTGAATAGCTTTATTTTCAAGACCTAGATGATAAATATATCTGTATTTCTCTTGTACTTAAAAAAATTATTTTCTCTTAATGAGGAAGTTATGAAAGCCAAGTTGCCCTCTTAAAGGTTTGGAACTTTATCTCTTTTCTCACCTAGATTTAGTAGTTTGTGAGGAAGGAAGAGTAGTCATTAATGCTTTCCAGTATTTTCTTTATGCATCTCATCCACCAGAAGTTGAACTTCAGTACCACCATTATTTCACATAAACCAGTAAATGATGTTATCTAGCCATATTGGTCACTGTCAATCTCTTTTATGACTGAAATTACTTCTGTCCTTGTAACTTTACTCTTCTGCCAGCTGATACTGTGTTTTGTTTTATAACTTTGGTCATTTTATGTGTGTGATTTTATGGAAGTGAATGTTATGAGTGAGGAAAACATAATTTTTATAACTAAGTCTTTTAAAATAATGAATTCCCTCCTAATGGTTAATACTAGTTTGTATGCACAAACAGTATTGCTCTCTTTACAGTTCCTTTAGATTTGTGTACCAATACCATGTTTTTAGAATGGTCACATCAGTTTCTTGCCAAGAAACAAACTGACTTTATTGTATTTTACTCTGTCAACAAAAATAGTTTTTTCCTGGTGTTTGAGTAACATTGAAAATTGGAGGGTGTGAGGCTTGGTGTGTATGTTTTCCCTTTCCCTCTCTTTCTTTCTTTCTTTGCATCATGATGTGTATCAGGAGGCTTCTGCAGATTTGAGGCAGAGAGCATTTTTTTTTCCTCAGCTCCTGTTCCAGGACACAGACGAGGTGTTATTCTGCTGGAAATTTTGGGTGTACATATCTGTTCAAGACTGTGAAAAGTCCATTCCAACTGA